TTACGCCAGAAGGTAATGAATAACGTGTGTCTGGACACTAATATAAAACAAATTAGGCCTATTTCAGAGCTGGAACAGCATCTGTTTCCTGTCTGTACTTACTGGTTAAGACGTTTCTTGGTCTTCAGCAGAATTCTATAAAGCCATGGCTGTGCCATAAAATATGGAGTAAAAGAACAAAACCTTGATTTTTAACAACATTGAAATCAGAGAAATCTGAAATTTTAATGTTAAAACATACATAGAAAATAGAAATTTAAAAGATCCACAGCACTGACAGAAAACAAAAACATGTATGATTAAATAGTTTTTAAATTTTTTGGTAGAAAGTAGGTGATCACTGTGATGTTTCCAGGTTTCAAAATGCCTACAGTCTTATGTCCTAACTGACAGACTACTCAACCCTATCAAGAATGAGTTAACATGTAATTACACTGAAAAAAATTTTATATGCTTGCTTTTTCTCTGTGTGCTGGTTTGGGCAGGGATAGAGTTAATTCTCTTCATAGTAGCTAGTATGGGGCTATGTTTTGGATTTGTGCTCAAAACAGCGATGACGCAGGGATGTTTTCATTATTGTTGAGCAGTGCTCACACAGAGCCAAGGCCTTTTCTGCTTCTCACCCCACCCCACCAGCGAGGAGGGTCAGGAGGGGACGCAGCCAGGACAGCTGACCCCAACTGACCAAAGGGATATCCCAGACCATTTGATGTCACACTCAGCATATAAAGCTGGGGGAAGAAGGAGGAAGGGGAGGACATTCAGAGTGATGGCATTTTGCTTCCCAAGTAACCGTCATGCGTGATGGAGCCCTGCTTTCCTGGAGATGGCTGAACACCTGCCTGCCGATGGGATGTATGAATGAATTCCTTGGTTTGCTGTTCCTGCGTGCACAGCTTTTGCTTTACTTCTTATTAAATTGTCTTTATCACAACCCATGAGTTTTCTCACTTTTCCTCTTTTGACTGTCTCACCCATCCCACTGTGGCAGGGAGTGAGCGAGCGATTGGGTGGTGCTTAGTTGCTGGCTGGGGTTAAACCATGACACTCACTCTGTCATTTGAGTGTCTAAGTTACAGGATTCATAAAGTATGATTTTGTAGCTAAACTTAAAAAAGACCATTTGGGGCCATCTAAATTTAAAACTTCAATTAAAATATAGATTTTCTTTGCTGGAAGTCTTAATTCAAATTAAATGTAAAGTCCTCCATTTAAGGTTAATTAGCTTTTAATTTTAAAATGATGAAGCACACATTTCAGAGAAAAATATTGTTTTGAAATAAAATTTTAAGTGTTGAATTTTAAAAAGTTGAAACAAAACAACTTGACTTTTCAACCTTTCTTCCCCTGCTGAAACTAGTCACTGAATTAGAACAAAATTTGCTGTTATTTTTGTTCAACATTGTCCTTTACAGAATTATTATTCACTAAGAAATGTTCCCATAGTTCTACTGGTAATAACACATTAGCCAGAAGAAGCGCTTCAACTTGCAGATTCCAGAGTGAATTTTCAGGACTGACAGATTTAATATCTGTTTAGTGTTAAACTGAGTAAATTTGTTTTGGAGGCCCTTAGGAAAAGAAAAAATGGGGTTTATAATGCCATTTGTACAAGCTGTGAAAAAAGATAGTTTGAAAAAGGATTTGTGATCAATCATTAGAATAAGAATGTTCCTTTGGTTGGCAGTATTCACGTATCTTTCTATTTCTTTTAGTCAATCACAGAATCACAGAATGGTTGAGGTTGGAAGGGACCTCTGGAGGTCATCTGGTCCAACCGCTCTTGGTTAAGCGGGGCCACCTACAGCCAGTTGCCCAATGATGGAGCTAAAAAGTGTTATATGAGGTAAGTGACCATATGCTTAATGCCTATTTGAAGCAATTGTCACAATTTGCAAGGAATTATTAGGTTGAAATTTCTTCAAAAATTCTTACCTAAATAATTACATTTTAAACTACATATGTGCATGAAAGATGAGACATAATCTATCAGATTTAATCTAATACAACCCTAATACACTGGTTAAAGTCTACATATTTTAACAGTGTTTTATGGTTGCTCAAAATTACTAAAACAGTCTTCCACGTCTACCACAGCTTGTAATGTTATTTTCAGTAAATTTAATGTAATCTGAAGAACTTGCTATTTTGCTAAATCCTCTAAAGATTTAATAGAACACACTGCAGCCATGGACAATGTGAATATATTCAAGGTAGGTCAAGCATATTTTACATTCCGTTGAGTGGGTCTAGAAATCCAGATTGAATTAATGAGTTCAAATACTTCATCTCTGGCATGGAATTTGATTTACTAAATGTCATCTTTATTCTTGGAGAAAATAAAGTAGGTTAAATTCAGAAGGTCAAATTTCTAATGGGGGTAGGATAGAAGCATTCCATTTTTTGTTTCTGTGATGTTTTTAAGCAAATAAGACATTAAACTAAACTTCCGTTACTTCTGTTGCAGAAATAGTTAGAAAGTAATTAGAAAGCATAATAATTCATGTGAGAACAAAAGATTATTGCTCCAGCAGCTTGACTGCTCAGCTGGCAAATATTATTAAAGAACTTTGAACCAAAGGGACAGAGGAAGTGAGAAAGTATTAGGAGAGACGAAAGGCCAGGCAGCAACAAGAGATCGGCCTTTCCCTTCCACAAATACATGCACAGTAGATGCTATGGCAGAGGAAAGAAGGAAAAGGAGCTACCCGTTTCAGTGGATCACCAGTGGCACAGCCTCCAAGAAAGGGAGCAGCAGCAGGAGGTAGCAGAGCTTACTGTAGATTTTTATAAACGAGTGATGTGGTAAACAGCTGTGATTTTATGCTGATACTGCTAGGCCAGAACAAGCAGATCAGCTAAAATTCCCCTGTACTCTGCTGGGTCCAAGCTGTTGAAGTTTGTCATTATTACATTTGTTATCTCATCCTAATCCAGGAAAGAAAGACAAACTATTCCACTACATTGCCATAGAGTAACAGAACAACTCCACTAACGTCTGTTTTTGTCAGATTTCAGATTTGAGCAGACCAAGGGTTTATGATCACTGTTCCATCACAAAAAATGTGGACTTCAGAGTATATGAAAATGGATTTCTTCAACTAAACGTCAAGATGAATCTACGGTCTTCTAACATCATGTTGTGAACCTGCACAGTGTGCCCCTCTGCAGCAGCATAACCTCTGCCCCACACACCAGGATATAGCTAATCCTTGATCTGAGACACTGATGGCCATTGCTGCTCTGTTCTCTACCTGTTTTAGCAGGAAACATAATTGCCAGAGACATGCTTTACTGTATTTAAACTTGAGACTTAGTCAGAGGTCCCTGAACAAAATTATCTGTCCTGAGATGAACACGCAGTCCTATCAGGTGATCTGATAGTCCCCTCTGGCTGTAAACGATGAAACCTAAGACTTGGACAAACAGTTCCCATTGGGCTCTTAACATTATAAACAGAAGTCTACTTCGTATCTAACATTCTTTTTGCACTAGAGGAAAACATAAGAACTGCTAAGAACACACATTGCATAACTTGAGCAACAGCCACCATTAGTCCAAAGCCTTTCAGAAAATGCTTGGAACTTGCACAGTTTTCTGTGACATTGCATCATGCACCACACAACACACTGCATATGCTGTGCTGTGAAAAACTGAAGAAATGCATCATCTGTGGAATTAGAATTGGCCAACAGCCAGGAAAACAGCTTGAATTTTGTGCAACAGGCAGAACAGAATTACCTTTAATGTTGTTTCAGACACAATGCTTGTATCTCCCCAAAAGACAGACTGATATTCTGTAAAATGCGTTACTACTATCATCAGCTAAATTAACCTAGCTTTAACCACTGTCATTTAATTCTCTTCATTCTTTTCAGATTAATTTAGGTTGAAGAATTAAAAATATCTACAAGCTGTTAGAAAGACATTGCTTTCATATTTTAAACATTACCACATTACTGCCAGGAAGAATTAGAAATCAGTATTAGTCAGACTGAAGTTGTAGACTTCAGATTTGAACTGGAATTTCCCACTGTCCATCACACTATCACCTGTCATTACAAAAAAGAATTTGTATAAAAATTGATTTGTAGGCTATCTTCCCCTGCTAGAAAATGGATTTGTGAGATTTAAGAATTATTTGTGTCTCACACATTTCTTAAAAGTGATAGGATCGATAACATCTGTTAGCAAGCCGCAGTGAAGAAGCAGGAAGGTGTAAGTTTCTACTCATGCTAATTTCAGTCTAGCACATCTCTGAAAAAAGGCAGGAATCAGAGGTTTTGTGATAATTTAATACCTTTTCATTTTCCTAGCAGCAAGCATCATAGGAAAGTTAAGCAAATCTTATGTTAGGACTATGAGACTGAAATATTAAGAAGAAAATTATTCTTAGTGTTAGGACCACACGTTTGTTCTTAGACAATAAAGTAGTTGTAAAAGCAACTTTATTTTTGAAGGTATCAAAGGAGTTTAAGCTTATTAGGATGTTATATAAAGTTAAAGCATAAAGATAATGTCAGTATTATTTAGATATTCTAAACTAGCTATAAGAGTACAGAATTGTTGTGTGTGAGAATGGCAGGCAGTCCATACAGTACAGGTGGTACCGCAGAGTGCAAATAAATGCAGAGAAATTTTCCTGTGTTTCCTAAGACAAGTCTGCTTTAATTCTTTAGGAAGACACAGAGTATCATATTGCCAAACAATTCTAAGCCTCAGCAGTAACTGCAAGTTCAAATATTGAGGCTTGGCAAGGCATCATTAACTTTTCAACACACTCTTTAATAACAATCACGTAGTTTATAAAGTGGTGAAAGTGCCTATATTTTAGTGAGCTTTTGCTCCTGACGTAGTTCACAAAATTTCATTACCTCTTTTCTCTATGAACCATTTCCACACTAGCTCTAACACTGCAGTAATCAATGATCATTCACATCTAACTCCAGCACTCCAATTGTCCTAAGAAATTCATCAATGCTACAAACTACTGACCTTACCCTAAACCCATCTGATTGCAGGCCAGTTGGCTTAAATTTTCTTGCCACTCATCAGCACAAACATGGTTATCAGCAGCTGACCTGTGAATGGTCAGGAACGTCAAGGAACTCATGTTTTTAGACAGGGTGACTGCAAAGAAAAAGAAGAACAACTTACCACTTTTGCTGATTTTATATGCTCAATAGCTATATATGTACATTCCTTAGCTATGTAATTTAAAACCAAGGCAACCATGGTTATCAGAACCTTGCTAACATTGAACAGCATGAGACACTAAACAACAAAGGCATCTTGAGGATTAGAATAAACCAGAATACTTGTGACTCACCAGCACAGGCTCACATGGGTTTCTGATAGCCTTAATCTTGTTAAATGATGTTTTGACCCACAAATAGTCCAACTGAAATCACTAAAGTAATTTGTGGGATGAATGCTGCTTGACATAAGAGTGATGCCATCATTTGACTCTCAGTAATATGCACTGTTCCCGTCATAACAATATGTGGGTGTAATTAGAGAAAGAAAAAACAACTACTGTTTACAAGAAAGATCATGACCATTGCTTCTCTCTTAATCCACATATACATGTGTGTGAACTGCTTTTATCACACACAAAAAGCTTCTCAAAATGGCCCAAAATGGAAATTTACATCCCTCCCTTTCTAGGATCCCTTAAAATATGTTGGGTTGTGTGCATTTCCTCCCCAAATACATACTGGTTTTAGTTAAACTGTTCCTCTGACTTTTGCTTTGATAGTACTAATCTTAACATAGCCAAGCATTATGCATTTTTCCTATATGCTGAATGTGCTTTTGCTTCTCTCCCCATGAGAAAGGTATGTATTAATCCTAGATTACTCCTTTTCAAATATGCATTTCTGGAACAGTTCTCTGTTGCATAGGTTTTATTAAATGCTGTTGTTTATTAATGTTCATACAGTGTTAAATGTTTTAAAATATTTATACAATCTACTTCAATATGAATACAAAATATTTGCTTCTGTAGGCCACAGTACACCTTTTTTCTGTATTTAAAATTACATACAAAGCATCTCAAAACTTAGTAATATAAATTACTGTCATGTACAGAAATACATGTTAACTCAGTGAAATCTCAGAAGACATACTACTGCTTTCCAACCTGCTTCTTTTCAGTGCAATTTTTTTTAAACCCACCTTCATTTTTATTTAAAGAATAATACTTAGAGAGTTTTACTTTAACAACACATAAAAGCATGAGGCCTAATTGGAACATAGACAGCAATAGCAGGTTACATCATTCTGCAGGTCTTCAGCCAGTGCGAAGGGGCCTAGTAGGACTATTTTCTTCTGAAAAGCTCTGAACCTGCACCATTGCAGTCAGTGGGAATTTCACACTGATTTTCACAAGTACAGAATCAGGGCTTAGAAGTTTTGCCTAAATAAATTCTACACCTGAACGTCTTCCTACTCTCTCTTCTATCCACAACGCTTTCCAGATTTTACACACCATCTACACATTTTAGAAGCTCCCTGCCATGTCACTTATATCTTTGCACCGTGACACTTCACACTGAGCCTTTCCTTTCTCTTTTGCCCACTTTCTTGCATGCTTTCCCAACCTCAACCCAGTCTCCCTTTGGTAATAAAGGGAACATGTCTCCACCACTGCAACTGTATTCTAAATCAAATCACCAGTGATTACTGTCATCACCCAAACATCACTTCCAGGCAGAGGGCACCATGGTGTAAACTTACCACAGTCCCATTCATCTGAGCTGTCACTGCAGTCTGCTTGCCCATCACACCAGAGCTCACGTGGCACACATTCATGGTTGGCACATTCAAGTTCACTCTCTTCACAAAATGCTGCAAGGACAAAAACATGTTTCACTCGGAGAAGGAAATGATCAATGTGAAGTTCACACTGAAACTAAAAAAAATGAGGAGGGTGAAGGTAGGCACAGAGCAGATTTATGGAGCGAGCAAGAAAGTGAGACAGTTTTGCAAGAAAATTCAGGGTGGACGTCACTCAGGCAGAAGGTGGTTGCTGCCAGGCAGTGGCAGAGGGCATCGCAACTCAGAGGGAAGGAAGGGTGTCTGGAAATGGCAAGATCTGTGATTACTTAGTATCATTTCTAGTCTTGTCATAGGAACCTGTCTAAGTATCTCAGAAGCTTTAAGTGAAAATACTGTGTTCCATGCTTTTTAGGAGACTGATCCAAATCTGTTTATTTCTTCATGTTCTTTGAAAAAATTATTTTACTGTAACGCATATGTATTTCCTTTCATCCACAGCAATTCTACATTAACTTTTGGATCCTCCTTTGCTATTTCAAATCATGGAATTATTTTTATCTCCACTTTAGAGATGGGGAACTAAGGTACAGGTAGACATGCTCCAATTCACAGTTTGTTGACAGCTGGGAGAATTAGATAGGGATTTCCCGAATCTCTGTCCAGTGCAGGAACCACAAGAGCTTCTATTGGCAAGTGACTTGTAGCCTTCCCCCTACCATAACAAACCCCCTCCCAAAAGGCAGGTGTGTAGCATTACAGTACCCTCCTCACTAACACAATTCTCTTCCAGCTTCTATAAACCCCTTCATTAGGGAATTTTGAGAGCTGGGGGAGGGTGCAGAGAGAATGCGTGGAAGGAAGCTGCGTTCAGTTGTCTACATCTGGCTGTTGTATAGCATCTATACTGCCATACAAATGTGCAAAAAATATACTCCACAGTGAAAACCATACAGATAGAGCAGGCAGTGCTGCCTACTCTGACATAAGTGATCCGTCTGTCTCTGGAATAAAGCGTGCAAAACTAGAAAAAGCTCTCTAACTCTGCCTTCCAGAGAGAGCATATTTCAAAAGCTGGAAGCCCTCAGCTGAGGAAACTTTGCTGCCATTTTGGAATATTCAAGCCCTGACACAAAAGCAGAGAGGAAATATAGTCTGATAATTATAGACTACCCTAACCTAAGCCCTCGGAGAATCTTTTCTCTGCTGTTATCTTAATGTGTGATCATGAGCAAATCACTTTAATACCACCTTCCTTTTTTTAGATTACAGGATACAGACAGCTTGGAAGTCAAATGGTATAATCTTCATAATGAAAAACAGATTAACAAGCATTCTGTGAGCTGCCTCTTCCCCAAAAGAAACAAAGCTAGATCTAGAGATATATGCAGGCTGCCAATCATTTTTGCAAATATATTCATATGCTCCACATAGCACATAAAATGTACCTACCATACTGTCCCTGCCAACAGAACTCCAGAGACTCAGGAGCAACTTTTTTTAAATTGTAAAATTATACCCTACAGTCCCAGCAAACATGCTGAAAAAACAGGATTGCCCAGAGAACTAAAATTTCAGCTTTCAAGCAAGTTTACCAAGCATCTCTTCTTTCTTGGGCAGGCTGAGTGTCACCCAGTATGTCTTTTCTAGTTCCTTGTCTTGAGAAAACCTGGTGTGTAGGCATGTCCCCAGGAGAATTCAGAATACCACTAATATATTCATGAAAGTGAAGCTAACATCTCACAGCACCCGCTCCCAGGTTCGCAGGCAGGGTGGGAGCCTGCAAAGCAGCGGCTGTTCCCAGGTCTTCCACCTCTTCCCATCCCACTAGTCAGCTGGGTAGTGGAAACAGAACACAGGGCAGCTCCCACAGGGGACCAGGGGGCCATTGCACACTGTCAGCACTGTGAGCTGTCTTACACTGTGCGCATGGACAGTATGTCCATACTGTCAGTGTACCATGCCAAGTTTTGTGTCTCTGATACTTATCGCAGTTTGGATTGTAGAAGAAGCCTGTGGAGCCAAGTGGGGAGACAGAATCTAAGAAATCTCAAGCGGAAGAGAAATCAAATAAAGCAGCGAGACATACGAAATTTACTGAAGAACAGATCAGAAGGAAAATTGCGTGGAAATCAAGAAAAAAAAAAGCAGTGAGCAGCTATACCTATATGGAATGAAGTTGAGAAAAGTTGGGAAAAGGAGTCAAGAAGCCATAAGGAATAAAGAAAAGAAGCACGAAGACACAAGAAGGAGGAGGGAGAGACAGGAAAAAAGAGAGAGGACTGGAGTGACCAAGGAGACAGCAAGGATCCAAGGATGTGAACAACAGAGGACACAAGATGAGAAAAGAGATAAATTGGTGCCATAGAAAAACTGAAAAGGAAACTGAGAGAATGACTAAGCCTTTTTGTCTGTAGAAAACCTTTTAACTTTCATTTATGTTGCACCCCAAGATCCCCAAAATGTGATCAGCCCTTGATGGGACAACAAACTGCATAAGCCCTTACAGCAGTTCTTTTCATCCATCATGTCAGGGCAGTCTGGAAAACCATCACAGATCATAGTGTGTTTGATGCACAGCTTCTTCAAAGGGCACTCCCAAAGACCCCTTTCTCTACAACCTGGAGGCAGAGAAGCACAGTTTTGAAACACCTGCATGCAATATCAAATCAACTGTTTTCTTCTTCCTTAACAATCCTGAAACACCTCAAATATTTTCACTTGCAATATTAATTTTAAAAGGTACCAAGAACAGTTACTAACAAAGGAATGCAAATAAGGTTGTCACAGTGCACACTTGATAAATGGGTATAAAACATATAACACTTCATAATACTTCAGTGCTTTTTAAATAATAATCTATATTATGCTACATATATCTATAAGTAATGGTTTAGGCATTAGCTCAATTAGCTCAAAACCCATATAACACTACTCTTGAAATACATTTACTAGTAATATATAAACTTTTCTAATCCTGAAGTCTGTAGAGTTTTCTTTAAAAGCATACCACACAGACCTCTGGTCTTTCAAAAGCAAATCCTATGACAGCATGGAATCTCTATGAAACAGTGTAGAAATATGTAATTTTTTTCTGGCAGTGCTCCTACACAATCTAATGCAGATCACAATGAAAGGTAGAGAGATGCTGTTAAGTATTGACCACAAACAGTTTTCCTGGTACGATAATCTGAGACCAAACCAGTTCAAAAAGATTAGGAAGACCCAATGGCTGTATGAATCTTCAAGAGGGTTCATTATTATGCAGGGAACACACTGCATTACTGTCTCTTCAAAGTCCTGCTAACCAGACTCTGATTTCAAGAGGAATACTTATAAAATTGTGTCATAGTGCTTTGACAGTAAAATTCCTGTTAGTCAGCTAGAGAAAATTAAGACTGGCCCAAGGTGCATTTTAGAAAAGTGTTTTCTCTTGTTTTATTTCATTATTTATTTCCATCAACTAACAAAGCACTTCACTGCGATACCAGTTTAAATACTTTGACTAATAATGTCATGCACATCTGACATTCTGGTTTTATAGGAAGCCATAAAAACAATGTGTTCGCCTGACTAAAACAGATGATTTGATTGCCTTGTTTGGCCTACAGATGATAATCCTAGTTTTCATTTTAATCAAGCTCATACTCAGGTGACAGCCCTGATTTCCCCCCACACTAATAGTTGAGGTATAAGCTCACAAATTGCATTTGAAGCAGCACCTCTGTTTGCCTGGACCTGGAACTACAGCAGCATATCAGCAGTCAGTTACTAAGCAGGTATGTTCTTTCCAAAAAGTGTTATTTCAGAAGTATTTTACAAACATGAACCAAAGAATCACTACTATCTTGTATGATTACTGGAAAAATCTACTCACGTTTTAACTGTAACTGGATTTGTGGTGTGCTTGATTTTGTTTAGATTCAAAAAGCCATGTAAATAAATGTTACAGCATAGAGAAATAAATAGCCTTGAACCTGTGAAACTAATTCCACATGATCAAAGAACTTGCTTGGGTATCACCATTTTCCACGTCTCCTTCTTGATAATACTTGCGATAACTATTAACAAAAAATTAACTGAAACCAAACAAAACCTTTACTCTAATAAAGGGCAGAGTATGTCAGTCATGTTAGGAACTTGATATGAAAATAAAATAAAAAAGCTTAAAAAATATAATTTATGAACCTTGCAATTTTTTAGCAAAGTGTTTACAATTAATTGAATAGATGTTTGCTTTTCCCCTTTATCACACTTTATAGTGTTACACTGTGAAGTGTACCATGACTCTCCAAAATGTATCTTTGAGACAATTCCCTAGGAAAAATTCCCTACTTACTTACTGAATTCTGTGTTCAAATATACTTTTGTTGATGGAAGCCATCTACCATTTGATATATTTATATTTTTTTCTCTAAATATTTTGTGACACATTTTTAATTTAATGACAATGAAAAGGAAGTGAAAATGGAGGTAGGAAAACTTGTCCATATTTACATTACCCCCACCTCAAACATATGTTTTGACAAGAGATAGGGATTCACATATGATCTTACCTTCAGTCCTCTTCAAAATATGAAGCAAGCTACCATTTGTTATTCACACGTATATTCTCCATGCAATATTATTAAGTCATTAAGACCACCACATTTTCTCAGAACTCAGATTGCAGAAAATAGTGAAGGAAAATACTGGTTTTGAATATTATGTCCTCAATTTCTTTAGTACTCTTCTAGGACACTCTTCTGCTCTCTGCCAGAGGCATTGTTCAGCAGCAAGTAAATTAATATGATCAATTACAATCAAGCATATTTAATACCACAAAATCTCTTGATGTCTATCATAATAATAATTTTCATAAATTACCTTCCTCACACTTCACTGAAATGCACTCAGAAGTCTCACATTCATAAATCTGGGTCAAATTTTCTGCCCAAATCCTAGTCTAAATGGCACTAAAGTTTTAGGATTTTGCTGCAATTGCATGGGTGAGATTTCCTCTCACGAAGATCACGTGAAAGTAGGACGGGGATTCCTAATAGGAGGAGACAGTGGGTACTGAATACAGCTCTACTCAGCATGGGAGGAGTTTACCTTAGCCCCTTTGGACTATTCTACCTTACATTTTTGACCAGAGTAGCTTGAGCATCCAAAAGCTGTAGCTAGTCTTTTCCAGCCTCCTCCTCCCTGCACTGTGAAGTTGTTCCATGCCTGTCATTTAAGCCACTTCAAATACAAGGTTTTTAATTTAAATGCTGACTGTTATTTAATGGTATAAAACCAATTTCAAAGGATAAATCTAATAAAACGTGAGCTAGCCATTTACATGTGGAAAGACGATCAAGTTTTGATTTTGTCCTGCACGTGTGGTATATCAATGAGTCAGAGACAGTTACTTCTAGAGCTCTACAAGGACTTTCTGTTCTTCAGTAACAGCATTACCCCTGGTCAATGTAATGTCACTCTGACAGCAGTAATTTCCTAGCAGATACAGTCTTCCATATTTATAGAAACTGATAAGAATTCTGCTGATTGCTAGTGACATTCTGTCTAGACTACAGAGGCAGAGAAAGATCCACTCAAAAAATGAATGTTATATATTAAAGAAATATTTCATATGTTAATGTCTAGGAGAATAAAATTATCCCAAAAGATGCATAGCAATTAGTGTTCTAAGGAGTTAAGAACAGGTGGCAAGAAAGAATATTTGGCAGGGAGGACAATTGAGACAATTGATTCAAAGGTAAAGAGATGACAAACTCACTGTGATCATCAGCTCTGCCTTTCCTTTATAATCCAAACAAGAGAATGACCTAGTATTAAATCCTGTTTCAGTGAGTATATATTTTTTTTCTTTTTGCAGGGGGAGGGGAATGGGGCAGAAAGAGGAGAGAGAATACAAGCGTGATTTGAAATGATTGAGATTGAGAATAAATTGCGCCTTAGTGAAAATAACCCCTTCATTACTCCAATCATTAAAACAACCTGATCTTAAAAAAGAAGCATTTTATAGAGCTGTCAAGCTTGAATTTTAGCCTAGCTTCAGCTTTCAGGTGTTGGATCTTATTTTATTTTTGTGCAGCTGAGTAGAAAGTCTTTTATTGCCACAGTTTTGTTGCTCACAAACTGTGATTCTATCTTAACCTGCTCTCTGTTAAAAAAACCAGGTTGTGCACCTTAGCTCTACTCTGCTGGAATATTTTCCAGTCTTTTACTCATATTCACACCTCTTCTCTAAATCCTTAGTGATTTATAATTATTCTTTTTGCCCCTAGGGATGTCAGGCCAGCATGCAGAACTCCATGGAGGCTACATCTTGGTCACATAAAGCAATAGCATAAACTCCCTTCCCCTTTTCAAAATTCTCCTGCCAGCACGTACAAAGATAAGTAGTGACCAAGAGATTTGTTGGTTATTCTCAAGCTCAATACATCCCCTTAAGTTAAAAGTCAAGCACATCTCTACCGTAAGTAAACTCAGAAACATACTGGAGAATAAACTTTGTGGTTACCACTTTATCCTCGTACCTACAGCTTGAGGTTGACCAATCTGAAAGAACATGTAATTCTTGACCCTTGCAGTACAGAATCCACTTCAGCAACACAGATCTTTTGTCAATACATAATAATGAGAACATTACTGTGTATAAATTTGAAACTGTATTTATGAATTCAAGATTTAAACTGCCAGGAAGTCATGTTTTAGTTCAGTAGAACCTCCAGCAATATCAAAAGAATTAAATCTGCAGCATTTTTAATCTTGATTACTAAAGGAATACTCAAACATCCTGGAATACAGTTAGCAGAATCTAAATGATAAATAAATTGTGTTGACATTAATCAAGAAGGATGCTTGCTGAAGTATTTTTACTGCTAGTAGTGTTAGAAAAAAACAACCAAAACAAACCACACTTTCAAACATATTTTTCTTACAGAAATTCTTATCCTCTGAGCTGTCATACTATGGTTCAAATAACTGAAGGAAAACCAAACTCATTTTCAAATGCTTCAGTTACTCTCCGTTCAAAAGATCCAACTCATCGAATTTATTTACCACAGCTGTCCTCATCACTATCATCCTCACAGTCAGCTTGACCATCACATCTTCTGGATGCCAGGACACACCTCCCAGAACGGCACTTGAAGTGACTGGGTGAGCATTCTGTCAATGACAAGGAGCAGGGAGAAACAAGGCCCCATAAGCTGCAAGCTTAATCTATCACATGGTACTTGCTTATTTATCACCATGACTGTTTCGGAAGGGTAAATGACAGGAATAGAAAGCTTGTGCGATATTAAACTGGAACTATGTAGTAGGCAAGACTCTTAACAATGGCACTGTCAGTGGGGTAGAGCAATATTTTCCAGACCTCTCCCTCACATGCTACCTTCTGTCAAATTTCGAAGCTTTGCCAAATAACTGGCATACAATGTTTAGATTGTGGGCAGGGATTTTCTAGCTACTTTTCTCACTGCTGTGATGTTGTGTGAAGCAGAAATAGATCATATGGTGTGTTGAAATGAGAAGAAGAGATCCCCAGGATAAATGTATATATAGGCAATTGTGTGGCTATTTGAATTAATTTGAATTAATAAAATCACCTATAAATGTTCATGAATTAACCCTTACATTGCTTCTGCCTCATCTTACAGAGTACCATTTTGAGAAAGCTTTATTTAGATAGTTTGAAAAACCCACCCATTTTTTCACACTGTACATGTCACTGACTTTGATGTACAACTTCCATCATATGTTGCCTTTTTTTTTTTCCTTCCTGCAAAATCTCTGATATTGAATACCATGTAGTTCCTTGGGTAAATTTTAGGATTCAATAACAGTTGTACCAAAAGTATCATCAATGAACTCGGGAGCCTTAGAAAATAACATTCTAATGATAAAAGTTATGTGAACTGTACTGCCAACATTTAAAAATAACTCATCATGAAAATAAGTTTATAATGCATACTGTCTTGGCCAGCAGTATTCTTGGATTCAGCACTGACTGGAAGAGAAATTAAGCAATTCAGCACCTTGTAATAACTCTGTCAATTATAGCTTAAGTTGGAAAATCACCTGTGTTTTGTAATCATAAACATTTAAAATGCTCTCAGAAGCATAATTTCTTCTGTTATATGCAGTTTTTTCAGAAATATTTATATAAGATTTTAAACTTCCCAGGGAAGACTTTCTAAGCAACACTGGTAGTCAGTAGAAATCTGGCATTCAATCAACATAAAATTCTAGCAGTAAGTGAACCCAAAACAACTCTGATAAGACCCCTCAATTAATTACACTGTTTCTAAAAGAATACTACTCCCCCCCCCTTTTTCATTGATTTTCCAGGAATATCTATTTCAGTGCTAAGATGATCAATAAGCAGTGAATCAGCTTACTAGGCAGAGTCTCTCTAATTAAAGTGGGAATTTTTTTAAATTATAATTTTTATAAGTGAACAGAATTTATCTCTAGAAATGGAACACACTAGTCCTGTATGCAGTAGTATATTTAAAATATAACTATTCCATGTTACATTTCAAAGCCAAATGATCCAATAACCCAGGGAGGAAGACTAAATGACATTCAATATCTGAGAAATTTATATCACATTATTTTTCTTGAACTCACCTTGTTGTGCCAAAATCTTACTTTTCCTTTCCTACACGCTGCTGTGTAATAATGGATAACTTCTTTCCATCAGCCCACTGCTGTGGAATAAAATTATCTCCTTGTCTCTCAAGAGTTCCACAACAGAGGATTTCATTAGTATGGTATTACACATCTTTATAACATCCTCACAGTGATACATGTGCACATGAACTTTGCTTGAAGAAATAGTACTAACTGCTATATATGCTTCACTGGTTTTTCATGATTCCTTCACTGTATTCACAGCAATACATCTTCACTAAAAGAACTATAGACTAACTAGCTTTTGCCCATTGCTTTCTTTGAGCAAGATCAAGGCTGTGGAAAGACCGTCATCAGCATGTAGGTGAGCAGGAGGAGAAGAGTGAGAACTGAACATGATCGGCATTTTGCAGGCACCGTAGCACACGCCATCTTGCTGTTTTCCCAGCTACTTTACTGGCATTTTGGCAAGAAAAAGAAAAGGCATGTTAGAATCCCCACAGATGTCACATCCAACGACCGCTGCAGAAGGAAAAGCTGCACACCTTCTCTCTTCATACATACGAAGAGTATCTAGAAGCATTTAAGGCATTTTCTTTCTTTTGTTCGTGTTCGCACCCACACTGATTAGTATTATGGCAGAACTCAAAAACTGAAATTTGTCAGTTGCTATTGAAGCCGGTTGGGCACAACTCTCTACAAAACTGTCCCCAAACAAAAACCAAGAGCAAACAATAGCTGGCAAAGACACTAACATTACAATATTTTCCTCAGAGCTGTTGTGGGGCTCAGCTTTTTTAAGATTGCCAAGAGTCTGCCTCCTGGTTAGAAAAGCATTATTGTGTCATCTAAATAGGTAAAAAAGTGAAGTATAAACACAAGCAAGCAGTAGATGTGGTGTTAGCAACAAATCTCAAACACTGCCTTTCACAGATTGAAGGTAATTGATCTTTCATTTGAACAGATTTCTTATGAGAACTTCCTCTTGTCCAAATTCCCTGAAACCCAGTTTGGAATCATTTCCACAGCTTAAATATTATAATTTAGGGAGGAGGTATGCGAAAAAAAAACCAGTGACTTTAGGAACCTAATTAAATCTTTAATTTCCTGTTATATGTGTTTATAGGAGTTACCTTCTACATCTTCATCCGGTGTTAGACAAGTTTGATTGTCTGAGTTCTCATCTGGAAATTGAGTGCAGTCAGTATCTTCTGGCCACTGCAGACCTACAATCCCAAGCACAGACTCACAGCGTTCCTTAGACTGTACACATAATGTCCTGAGGAGACAAAGCAGAATTGCACAAAGTAACTGAGTGAAAGTCTTAGAAATTCCCAGTTATTGGAAGTTAATAATCCTAGCCAAAGTTAAAGATGAAGATCAAGGAAAAATCACTTAATCAGATTTCTTTACATGAAAAAAAAATGTGTCTAAAGATATGTTGCTAGTGTTAAAACATTATTTTAAGTTACTGTATGCATACTATTAACTGAGTTATAACATAATAGCCAAATATAACTACTTACAAACATCCTCTCCTCTCAAAGGGATGGCAGAGAACCTTTTTTAAGAAGCAGTAACTGCCCTCCTTCAGGAAAAAAGAGCCAAATACATTTTGTACTGGTGAAATGCTACCCTTTCTGATGATGCTACCTCAGAAACTATGTGGTTTCAGAAGGACAAAATATTTCAACCTGCAAACAAAAGAACAAAGAACTCCCCAGGGAATTCTATAAAATTAAAAGTTTGGGGAAAATCAAAGCACAGATCAACCTAGTCTTGAGGGGTTTGTCAGTTAGAGCAACAGAAGCTTGTATCACACCTGGAAAAAGGCACGAATATAGTCATCCTGCTGCATTTGGTTTTTTACCACAGAAAGACAGGACTTGCCACACAAAATTAGTTCAGTCCATCTAGATTAATATCCTGTCTCTCAAAATACCCAATGTCAAATGCTTCAAAAGTACAAAGCGAAAGTGCATAAAAGAAAAATCCCCTATTGTTTTAAGCGTTATTTTAAACATTTAGCGACTACTTTTGCCTGGAATCATAGCTGATGTGCTGTTCAATACAATAGTCTTGTCTTGTATCCATGGTATTTTGAATCCCTGTTTGTTTCAACTGCCTCTTTGTTTTTTTTTTATTCTTGTTCAATATCAAGTAGGCAGTATGGGATTAGGAACCTCAACATCCTTTTCATCTCTTCCTCCAAACAGAAACATGCATCATGCTGAATAGGTATTTGTCTAAGCTGTTCTTAAAAACTCTTCAGTTAGCAAGATTTTGTATACATCCTTATCCCTCATTCTCATACACAGATATCTATTATTTTCCTTGTATCTGACCTATAGCTCTCCTGATGTACTTTAAATCCATTGCTTCCTGGTTTAATCTCAGTGAACATTGTGAACAATTTGTTTTCTCACAGAAGCTCACTTTTACCTATTTGAAGGCTATGAGGTCTCCCCAAGTCTTCTCATGTTTCTAGACTCAGCAACTCATTTAATTGCACCTTTCGGATCCTATTTTCTAAACCTATAATCATTTGGACTTTCTCCTAGCGTTTCAAAGAAAATTCTCCTTTGTTCTTATAGGTTGAAAAATATTCAACAATAGGATCCCACCCATTTCTACTTTTTTCAGTTTTCTTCATGTCACTTTTAACTTGCCTTTTATTAAATCTTATCAAATTTGATTTTGTTTTGGGGGACTGCATGAAGAAGAGTCAATGTTTTTCCACACCAAATGATTCACCATTGAGTTGAGCAGCTGGAAGGAATGGATTGACATTGGTCAACCATGCTGCAGTTACAGACTCTCTTTCCTTTTAGATCCTCCTCCACATCAAAAAGGCTGACTCACAGCACTTTATAACCTCGGTTTTGTGAATGCCAGAATTTTTATTTACCAATGACAAAAACCCCAAACTGACAACAATATGATGAATAAATTTTAAAAATTTGATTTTGTTAGCTGAGACATATAAGCCATTTCTGTTCTGTGTTCTCTGTGCACTCAAATCTTTGGCCAAAGCTGACCATTTCCAAAAGCTATTGCAAGCCATTTAGTTGTCAGTCTGTGCTGCAAGAATTAAACTGTAAATAATCTTCAAAGTAGTGCCCATCACAGCACATATGGAAGCCTACTGCAATACTACTAGGAAATTTGGAAGAGCAACTGGTACTTTTTTTTTTTTTTAATCCTTCCCACATTCCCATACCGAGTCTTACAGTTGGGGTATCAGAATACCTTGGTAACAGAATTCTTTATTTACTTCTCAGTCAAATCTCATCTGTGGTACTGTCTATGAATCAATCTAACAAGTTAACGGTTAACAAGAGTACACATCACAAAGCAGAAAAACCTCCCCCTTCCTGGTAGAAGAAAGAAATACAAGGTAAAAAAAAAAGATGTAGCATAGAAATGTGTAATTTTCTGCAATGGAATTCAATCTAGCACTTTAAGAACATTAAGCATATTTAGCAGTTAACTAAAATATCTCTTTACTTTCTCAAGTCAAATACACTAATGGGATGTCTAAATTGATGCCAACACATAAAGGGCACGAGATTTGAACAGGATTATTCTTCATACACATCTGTCACAGTTTTGAAATACTGCCAAAGTCAGCTGAAGACTACTTAGATACATAGACGGCGTAATCTCTGAGTCATTATAGGGTAACGTGACTAAGAAGGCATTTACTGTTCCCAAAATAAGGGACACTGATAGACTTATTGGAATGTTGTGAGACCCAGAATCTCCAGAAGCTGCTCAGTACCCTGCAGAATCAATTCATAGCAAAGATAGTTTGTAATTATAAGGAAACAGGAATTTCTGAGCTTATTCCATATATTCTTCACCTATGAAAGTCCATTTGTCTTCAGTGGGAACCCAGGCACACTTAGGTTCAAAGATTATTTCACCAGACCTGGACTACCATTACCAATGCCTTATCAGAGACGAAGAATACTCTTCAGAACTTGAAAACATACTTGATGATAGATCAATGAATGGCCTCAATAACAGCAAGTTCAGTTCTTTCAAAACAACTCTTCACCTGTGTTCCTTACTTCAAACAAAACTTCCTGAAGACCTTTATAGTTAAAGAATAAAGCAGGACAGGCAAACTAATAACAGAAAGACAATGAAAAGCCTTGCAAAGCAGGGACAGATGTTTTATGCACCAGTGTTAAAAAATCTAATACATCTCTGATAAGTATATTTTATAATAGATGCAGAACTGTAACATGAATTTTCAATTCATGGTTGGAAAGTGCACTTTGACTTGAAAAGCTTAACACTGAAAAATTGCATTAGCTGAACTCCATTTCATATTCAGGTAAAGCAATACATATGTCCTGTTAAGCTCAACTAACCACTGATATCTTTGAACAAGAGAGCAGTTATTTTGCAAACACAGCAGCAGATTCTCAGAACACAGTTTCTGTGCTCAGAATGTAACATTCTGCCTTCTAGGAGCTTCAAACTGTGGTTACATAGATTTATATTTATATTGATGTATCAAATGTATTTAATTTTTTTCTGCCCTAAATTTATCAATTAATTCAAGAGTTTATTGGTATGAGGCGATAAGTTTTTTCATTTCTAAAACATTTTTACATTATATCTGTGTCTGAAATTCTTCCTAAAACTTTACTGTAAAGCAAATACTACACATCTCAGTGGGACCCTCTCCAAGGTATCCCTTTCTCATAAAATCACTCTCCACTTGTGATCTACACAAGAGCAAAACCTGAAAACAGTTATAAAGTAGAGCTTTGAATCCCAGGATTTAAAATTTTATGTTTGAATATTCAATCTGATCTAAATGTGCTGTTACCCTGCTTTGAGCAGGAAGTTGGACCAGATGAGTTCCAGAGGTCTCCTTCAAACTAAATTATTCTATGGTTTCTACAAGTTCCTCTTCATGTGTTTAATACCTTAAATTTGAAGACTATTCAACTGTATTGTGATACTTCCTAAAATCCATTAGCTAGGTATGTAGTTGCTGAAGCAAAGAGCCTATAATTTAACTTTTGTTCCTCTACATTAGAATAAGTTAGCCCAATTTTTATTTATTATACTGCTTGCTTAAAAAAAAAAAAAAAAAAAAAAAAAAAAAAAAGGAAAGACTTGATTTTCAAACAAGCAAGCCTAAAACAGAGCTTGCACAAACCATTCTGTAACTTTGCAACTATCCCATGTGCAATTTCCTAACTTTCCTGTTAGGTCCCTATGTAAGAATTAAGCGATATCTTAGTAAATTTCCCTGTGACTCACTCTTAACTGGGACTAAGAAGCATACCACTAGACAAAGAAATGTTATCTATTTGTCAACAATGTCACATCGTAGGAAATCTTAGGACCTGTATTGCAATTTTCAATGCACTTTCTTTCAATACAGTAGATGTTAATTGATCAATACTGTCAGGATAGGCCCAATAACAGAGACAGAAATACAGTATGAGAAGGCTCTAGCAGCCAGTGGCTCAAAGAGCTCTGCCTGCTGATCAGGTTTATTAGCTCTCCTAACCTGCAACAACTGTTGCTATCAAAGCCATAAGATTTATAGAACATAGTCTCTTTTGAACAGATGCAGGCATAACCCTGAAAAGTACAGTAATGTTAATTGATGAGGATGGTACCAAAGTTAATCTGACAAGTAGAAAGCCTAAGTTAGTCTGTAATTCAGAATGATGTGGCACTCCTCTAATTTAGAAAGGTAAGCATGCATTAAAATCTCAGGTTTTGTTTATAGTATTTGGATAGAGTTTTGCATAGATAAAGTGATACACTAATGCAAGGAACTATTACAAATGCTAATGTTCTGAATTTAATTAATTGATTCTATGTTTAAATACCCTTTATAGTGGTGCAATTCTAATCAAACGCACAGAAATGGAAAATGCTTCATACAACACTCACAGCATCCTTCTGGACAAGTTGTCCAACTGTGGGACAAGTGGGTTCACTGTGCGCTGGGTGAAGAACTGGCTGAAGGGCAGAGATCAAAGGGTTGTAGTGAATGCGGCTACATCGGGCTGGCGACCAGTCACCAGTGGTGTTCCTCAGGGTTCAATTCTAGGGCCAGTTCTCTTCAATACATTTAGCAAAGGTCTGGATTGAGTTGAGTTGAATGCACCATTAGCAAGTTTGCTAATGACACCAAACTGGGAGGTGCTGTTGACCCTCTTGAGGGACGAGAGGGCTTGCAGAAGGATCTAGATAGATTGGAGCATTGCGCTATGATAAATGGGATGAAATTTAACAACTCCAAATGCCAGATCATGCACCTAGGATGGAGTAATGCCAGGCACAAGTATAAATTGGGAGAGGAGTGGCTGGAGAGCAGCCCTGCAGAAAGGGATCTGGGGTGCTGGTTGACAGCAGGCTCAACAGGAGTCAGCAGTGTGCCCTGGCAGCCAAGAGGGCAAACTGCATCTTGGGGTGCATTAAACACAGCACAACCAGCTGGTCAAAAGAGGCGATTATCCCACTGTATTCACTATATTCAGTGTTGGCGTCGCCTCACCTTGAGTACTAGGTACAGTTCTGGGCCTCACAATTTAAGAAGGATGTGAAGGTCCTTGAATGTGTCCAGAGGAGGGCAACAAAGCTGGTGAAAGGGCTGGAAGGAATGTCCTATGAGGAGCAGCTAAGGACTTTGGGCTTGTCTAGTTCGGAGAAAAGGAGGCTGAGGGGTGATCTCATTGCTCTCTACAGCTTCCTGAGGAGGGGAAGTGGAAAGAGAGGTGCTGATCTCTTCTCCCTGGTATCCAGAGATAGGACGCATGGGATTGGTTCAAAGCTGCACCAGGGGAGGTTTACACTGGAGATTAGGAAGCATTTCTTTACAGAGAGGGTGGTCAAACACTGGAACAGGCTTCCTAGAGAGGTGGTCGATGCCCCAAGCCTGTCAGTGTTTAAGAGGCATTTGGACAATGCCCTTAACAACATGCTTTAACTTTTGGTCAGTCCTGAATTCGTCAGGCTGTTGGACTAGATGATCGTTGTAGGTCCCTTCCAGCTGAAATAGTCTATTCTATTCTATTCAATATATACATTTTGAAAATTATTGAACTGCTATTCCTCTCCTTGTTTTGAATACTTCAGATACTAATCACACACATGTAATGAACTGCATTTAATGATCTTATAAAATATGGTTCTCTACCTTTTGCTATGGAATTCCAAAGCAAAATTTCTGGTATTTTCAGTGGAAAGAGAAAATTGGGAAAGACTAATATGACAGACAATGTCAGTCAAGAATTAAATGAGGTATAGTATAGTACCTGCAAGGTGGGATCCGCTGATTTGTATGGGGGTCGCATTTTGGTACTAAGATTGTACAGGCAAAAAACATAAGGTACTTGTAGCAGTTGGTCTGAACCAAGGCTGGGAAAAGAGAAGACTCCCAGCTGATAGAGGCTTCCTTCTGTGTCCTGTGGCCCAGGTAGTTTGGGTAATAAGTGTAGTTGTAAGGCAAGTTCATACAGAGTTCCAGAGTAATTGGTTCACACTGACCTTTCATAGAAAGAAAACAAAAAAAGAAATACAAATGGTGTGAGATTAAATGAAATACAGAAGAAATAATTACATAAGTATTTAACAAATTTATCAGTCAGGGGATTTCCTCTCAGTCTTGAGAAACTACAAGTTTCAGAGCTCAAGACCCCTATGAGCCTATTCATACCAGTACAGAAAAGTGGGTTTGACCTCTGCCTACCTAAGAACCTATTCAGAGACTTACATTCCCTTCCAATATGCATTAACTTCTAGAGTAACATCTCAAATTTAACATGGTACAATAAACCATTCTTTAAAAACAGATTTATTCTTTTCAAATCAAGTTTCTGATGATTTTCAAGAGCTCCTGTATCATACAACAACATACTTCCTATGGGTGTACTATGCTACCATAACACACCTCATACTGGCAGTGCAATTGTCAAAATTAAGGCAACTGGGATCATAGGATACTTTGGGTTGGAAAGGATCAGGAGGTCTCTAGTGCAATGTCCTGCTCAAAGCTTGGTCAGGTCTGAGGACGGATCAGGTTTCTCAAGGATCTATTCAGTCGGGTCCTGAAAAATCTCTAATGACAGAGACTGCACAATTTCTCTGTATAGAAAATGGCAGGATTTTTATTTTATTTTATTTTTTGCATCTCAAGATCTCCAGGAAGAATGGGGACAATTAGGTTATATATTGTACAAACACTGAGTAAGAGACAGTCTACATGCTAATAATTTAATTCAGATAAGACATAATTGATAATACAGAGAATGATAAGCAAGAGCAAAATCAATGAAACAGCTACAAGTCCATATGATTACACAGAATATAGCTATATACAAAAATCAACCAGCTTTTAGGGGGTTTATCACAACATATATTGAACTGACTGAGTATTTTGGATTTAAAAAATTGTACAGCTTTTGTATTTCTTCCCACATTGGTAGTCACAAATACTTATTTTTCAATTTTCAACCACAACAGAAAGCAACAGACAGAATTTCACTTCAACTCAGACTGAAATTCAGCTATTTATTTAGCACTGAGACCAATGTGAAATTATTTAATTTTGAAATATGAGAAAATTTTCCATGAAAAAGTGTACTATTCAGAAGTCATTTGTTATCAAAAGACTGCATATATTTGCCTATCCTGGAAGCAAATGTATCTTAACATGATTAACATTCTCTGTCAGCCAGTTGCTAGTGTCAGTTGCCAGCACAGTGTGGCAACTGGGTGATCCTATAGCTGGATCTTTGAGAGGAAGTTGAAAGATCCAACAGTCAATTATTCAGCTGATCAGCAGAACTGGCCAATCTTTCATGGACTGGCATTCCCTATTATAACTTTTTTATTATTTACCTCTAATCTGAGGATCACAAAGGTCATTTTTTTATACAGCTTTTCCTCTCTGCTAAATCCTTGCATCCTGCCAATACTGAACTATTTCTGTTCTCTCAAACCACTTAGTCCCAGCTTTGGGGCATATGATGTTCAAAGACTTCAACAATCCTCCTCACATTACTGCCATTTCCTTTTCTTCATGATGAACTCTGCCTTGTCCTCCCATACTTAGCCCAAAATGCCCAGATCAGTTTGGTTTTGTCTTTAGATTTTTCCCCAGTAAGCATCTTTTCATGATGTGTACAGAATATTACATGTTCATCAGTATTTAATGATGAAACCTGAGTAAATAAACACAAAAGTACATGCAATGTTCTAAGTGTTTGTATAACATAACATCATTCAAGACTAAAGGGTAGAAATGCACATATATCATTCTCTCTTTTGTTATGCCTCATATTTATAGGGGTTTAGGTGAAGTCTAGAAGAAAATCTAGTCCACTGAAATGGCCCTGTAGGATAGCTCTTTACATGTTTTTGATATGATTATAATTTTCACACTGTGCTTAGAAAGCTTCTATCACATTATGTACAAAGGTGTCGTCGTAGGCTTGGAAAGAATAACTTTGACTCTCACAGACAATTCCCTACAATCCACAAGCACAGCAACAAATGGAACATACACTCCGGGGGAACATCTGACTGAATTTAAGTAACCCAAGTGTTAATCTTTCCTACAGTTTAAGAGATCTTGCTAATTCCTTATTTATAGTATGTGTAAGTACAATCTAATGAGTGGGGAACAAGGAATAAAATTCATTGCATAGTTTATTCTAAATTAAAAAAAAAAACAAAACCAAAAAAACAAACCCAAACAGATTATACCTGGGTTTAATGTCTTCATGTATTATTATTATTATTATTATTAACTTGCTCTACCTACTATGTAGGAATTAGCTCCAAACATAGTAAGAGAAGTGAATGGGATATTTCACAGAATCTTGGAATGGCTGAGGTTAGAAGGGACCTCTGAAGGTCATCTGGTCCAACTCCCCTGCTCAAGCAGGGCTACCTAGAGCTGGTTGTGCAGAACCATGCCCAGATAGCTTTTGACTATCTCCAAGGATGGAGTCTCCCTTCAGATATCTGTTCTGTTATCCCATATTTGTTGTAACGACATTATAATGCCAGCCTAAACTGATCAGACATTATCATGCATGAAGAACACCCATGATATTCATTATTGTGAAATGTGGCCTGTTCTTTGGAATATTCCAACCAAAGAGTTATTTGGGCCAGAAAATACTGCTTTGTCAAAACTGAAATTTTCCACAGGAATTCTCTTCTCTTACCAAATACAGAATAACTCTGGTCAAAATATGAGCAGCAAAAATAACATGAAAAAAGACTATAGTACTTCCAGATGTTATGCAAGAAAAATCCCAAATTCTCTTGCTGTTCCATTGTGTGTAAACAATTAAATATTCACTGGACCAGAAAGGGAGAAAGAGAGACAATCCAGAAGTCTAATTCAGATTACTTGTTACTCCCATTGAGAATTACAGACTGTTGCCCATAATACGATGAGGAAACACCTTCACTAAAAAGCTCTTGGGTTTCTCATGACATGGAATAGGAACATTGTTTTAGAACTCCAATATCACATGTCAAAAAATGTCTTTCACTATCTTGTAACATAGTCCTAGCCACTTGAACATTTTCCAGAATTGCTGTCCATACATACAATGGGATACAAAAATCTACATGGATCAGGAAAAGATTTTGGACCACAGGACAAACTGCTTTGGACCACAATAAGTCTCACGCCAATTTATCCACAAGGAAGATGAGTCTAAGAAACAAAGTACACTTTCAGCTCTCTCTTATTGTGAGAAAGACTGAATTGCAGTCACACTGCTTGAAAGACTGTTGCCTTTTACAGGACTGTAGTCACTGTTTATGAAAGGTAATTTGCTTAAGAGAGAACTGCTCCCCGAGTATAAGAACCAGTATTTTCCTACTTGTTGGGTAAGGCTGCTGCTAGTGCCTTGTTTGCCAGCCGAATAGAGGACCTGTCTTATGCATGACTGGTGACTACACAGCCATCAGTTGTGACTCCAATGTTGATCCTGTCACAATATATCAGATACATTTTATGTGTTCTTTACCAAGCATTTTAAGTATTTAAAAATAAATAAAATTACAAAATACTGTCTTTTTTTGACTTGAGTAAATGTAAACTTGTTACAGTTTTAAACATATAAAATATGGTTTAGTGTAATGCCTGTTAAGTTTTGGAAGCATTATGAGTAAATAATCTTTGAAACAGCAGATAGAAATATGGAAGCCCCCATTCCTGGGTAAACCGTGGTTTTGTGGCAAAGTTAGTAATGCTCAAATGAAAAAGATCAATCTTCAAATAGAGAAACTGAGATGCAACACCTGTTCTTAGAGGCACAGACTGCTAAAGCTGCTGCTTCTCCTGCAGGCAGAGAGATCTGGGACTAAACATCCTTCACTCCCATGAGGCTTCAGCCCACAGAGAATCAATCTGATCATATACACATATCAACTTGTGACAAGCTAGAGTGGAGTTATTCAAGTCAGTAATTACTATTTCAATGAATACTCATGTATTCTCACCTTAAACCATCAGGAAAATACAACCTTCAAATCTCACCAAAGACAAGAAAAGATTACTTGAAGAAACGTTTTCTTTGGAGATGCTAGGTTCTAGAGGTTCCAGGTTCTTGGAACCTGCCAGGTTCCAGGTTCTTGGAACTACAGTTCCAAGGGATTTCAGCAGGAATTGCAGATGTGGTCAACAACCAAAGTAATTTGATCTGTTGTGATATTTCATGTTTGATTTCTCCTTGATTAGTGTATGTATCCCAAGATATACTGCTTTTCACTAGGAGGGGGACAGCCTCTCATGGGAGATAATATCTGACCATGAATTGCAAGACACAGAGGAGAAAATGACCAAGATAATTCCATGAAGATATCTGAGATTTCAACCAAAAAAACCTTAAATTACTTTAAAAATTTAAGTTTTGTTAGAAGTTTTTAAAAAAAAGAAGTAGATTATTTTTATTAGTTTTGTGTTATATGGATGCCTGCCGTCCCATTTCATAACCTTTTCTAAATATTTCTTGGGGGAGAATGATGGTTTGGTTCACAACAGGCAAGTAAAAAACCCCAACACATACTACTCCAATCACCTTAGAAAGTTCCTTCTCACCTGAATAGTTTGGTTATGGATATGGATTAGAAGACAGGCCTACACAGGTGATGTACATAGTAGGCATCTGCTGCAGACCACCCTAGCAAAAAGAAGAGGTAGATGAACCTTTCTTCAGAAAGCTGGAAGATGCCTCATGATTGCAGGCCCTGGTACTTGTAAGAGTTTTAATCATGCTGATATCTGTTTGAAGGACAGCAAGTTGGTCTTAAAGGAGAGCCTCCTCAGAGCACAGGAAGAGTCCATAACAATGCAAAGCAAGTCAAGCAAGCGCCTTGGCTGAACATGGATCTCCTGACTGAGCTCAAACACAAAAAAGAAATACACAGAAGAGGGCATAGAGCACTTAAGTGGAACGTAGAGACATTTCCTGAGCATACAAGAATGGAATTACAAAAGCCAAAGCTCAGATAGAGTTGAAACTACCCAGCAATGTAAAGGGCAAGAAGGAGGGCTCTTGTAAGTACATTGGCAGCAAAAGGAAACATAAGAAAAATGTGGGTCTGCTGCTCACTGGGGCAGGGGTGACCAGGGACATGGAAAAGACCAAGGTATTCAATGTCTCTTCTGCCTCAGTTTTCACTGAGGAATGTCATTGGAAAGTTGCTTTATATCATCTTCAAAAGGTCATGGCAACCCTGGCACCTGATGACTGGAAGAAGGCAAACATCACATCCATCTTGAGGAAGTGCAAGAAGGAGGATCCAGGGGACTACAGTCCAGTGAGTCTATCCTCAGTCCCCAGAAAGATTATGGACCAGTTCCCTCTGGAAGACATGTCCACACATGAAGAAAAAAAAGGTGACTGGGAACAGCCAGCACGGATTTTTCATGGGAAAATCATGCCTGATTAATCTGATTGCTGTCTCTGACAAGATGACTGGCTATCATTCCCTTTTATTCAGCACTGGTGCATATCTGGAGTGTTGTCCTGGTTTTTGGCTTCCCAGTTTATGAAAGACATCAACATACTGGAATGAGGTGAGTGGAGGGCCACGAAGCAGGTTAGGGGACAGGATCACATGATCTACAGGCAAAAGTTGGGAAAAGAGGATTTGCTCAGCCATCAAAAAGGAAGGCTAAGGGGAGATCTTACTGCTGTTAACAATGACCTAATGGGAAGGTGTAAACCAGACAGAGCCAAACTCTTAAAAGTGCACAGGGATAGGATGAGAGGCAAAAGACGCAAGCTATAACACAGAGAATTCCAGTTACATACATGGAAAAAAGGTTTTTACCACGAGAGTGGCCTAACACTGAAACAGGTCACCCAGAAAGACTATGGAATCTCTGTCCTTGGAGATACTCAAAACTCAGCTGCACAAGGTCATGGGCCACATGACTTAATTGGCACTGCTTTGATCAGGAGTTTGGACTAGTGGACCAAAGGTGTGAATTAATTTCCTTCTAATGCTAAACATGATACTTATGATTGTCCTATTTCAGAATGTTAGGAGAAGCATTGATAGAAGCACATGTAAAGCATATGTGCCCAAGTATCTTATATCTTTACTTTAGCAGCACCTAAAGGCCCTAGCATGAATGGTGCCTGTCTCAAACACACACTTGTGGGTGACAGTCACAACTTTAGACAGACTGTGGAGTTTGGACTAGTTGACCTTCCCATATCTGTTCCAACCTAAATGGAGTAACGTTATCCAAAAAAACTACCATATAGTACCAAATCATACCTTGCAGAGATAACTGCTCAGCACAAAGCAATTATAGGATATGTCTGTCTACACATTCACATGTAAGTGAAGGCAAGCCTGCCCATGTGCTAAGGTGACCTGAATTGATGTGATTGTATTAACACATCACCAAGTTTTAATTAATTCTGAATAATTCTGTATACAGTCTGCCACAGTTTCAAAACCTAGCCAAATATACTTCGTCTGAGTATCTGTTCACAGTGCTGCATTGCACAAGTGAGAAAGAGAGCTACTCAGAAGCAAGTGTAGAGTGGGTACAGGAGGCTTGCATGGAGTGGTATAGACATAGAAATGAAGATACACAGTGTTGAAGACCCCAACCCTCTACAATATGTATTGGTCAGAAGAGTAACTAGTTTTGCCTGTTTGAATATCAAAATTATTCCTTCTTAAAACGGCTAAAAGTTCTCCAGACTTCTAAACACAATACCATGTTTTCTTACATTTTGAAAATAAACCAGTAGCTTCTGCTTTACACTTACACTATGTTGTTTACTTTATGTAAACACTGAATGTCATTAAATGTTAGGAAAAAGCGCAACTACAAACACCTGTTAAGAACATATCAAAAATTCACAGAAGGGAAAATATCTCAATGTCAAATGTTATGAGTATCTCTTAGGACATTAATAATCAAGAGTTACGATGAAACTTTGGTCAACTTTGCCCTTTTCAATACTTAATCATTACACATGTGCATTAGATAGCAAATTAAAGTATCACTTACTGTGTCCTACCCTGCATCCTATTATACTCTTAAAACACCCTAAAACAGTGACAGTATGAAGCATGTGACCTACTTACTGCAGTTTGTCTGGCTGTTTCTCATCTCACAGAGAGAAGTTCCACAGGGATCAGGACAGGAAGTACATCTCTGGTCTCCCTCCTGACAGAGGGTTTGACCTGAGGAAAATAGAAATTTACTATTCTAATTATTTACCAGACTAATAAAAATGACTGGAGTGTAGCAATGAGAAAATACAGAGTTTACATTACAATTAAGTATTTCCTTTACATAGCTGAATAAGTACCCTACAGCATTTCAAGTGCAGTAAGGAACTGTTGTAAGGAAGAAAAGTGTGCAGCACTGTCCAGATGTCACTTTTCTTTACCCCTATGTTTAATATAAGAATTTATATCCCAGTTTCTGAATGAGAGGTATGGATCTCTGAAAACCATTTATCATGATCCACTGGCAGAGTACGAAAAGTCACGTAAATCAGATTTCAAAGTGAACAATAGGTCCTAGCTGAAAGAGAATACCCTCTAGGAATTATTCTTCAGTGCCATTCAGTTCATCTGCTTCTCATTCTGTGATTGTTTTGGTGGACAATAAAAACCATCCTGAAGAAAGGTCATCAAGAGCTGAAGCGTTATTGTCCTTCTTCGGCTCATTAAAAAACAACAAATAAACCCCCAGAAGGCTATAGTCCTAAAGATGGAATTCAGAATAACTAAAACCAGTACTTCATCAAAAAGTTTCTGAGCACATTACCTGGGTAGTTAGTTTCTCTGACAAATACCTAGGCTTCTGTCTCATAGTGGTGATAGCTCCTTTCCAAACCATTAAATTCTCTCTTCCATAGGACTTTTGCGAAATCAGTCATTTAATTTACTATTCTGTACACAGACACTAAATAGTTTGGATTTTATCATCTCATTCTATTTTAAATGGTTTATTGCAAGTATTGTTTAGTGTTTGTATTGCACTGCTGCCCATGAACATTAATCCTTCAGTCATAGCGTCATTATATTGGGCATACAGAAGATGCTGGAGAAACATCTTGTTTCAATGACCTTGACAACAACCTTGTCCCAAAGAACTGATGATGTAGTCGTTATTATTCATAATTATGTGGATTTACTTCCCTTCATACATGTTACATATTGAAGCAATAGAAGTACTTTCTTTTGCTGTAGCAATTGACTGTCTTATTTTACAGGTGCATCTGATTGCAAAATGGAATTTGAAAGGTAGGGAAAACCATTTGACTTCTAAAGCTATCAAAAATCCTTACATAAAATTAATTTTTTAAGTTTGCTCCAACTCCTTCTTATCCCACAGTGAAAGAGTTTCTCAACTCTTTAAAAATCCCTGTGCTACAGCGTAGATTCTTTTGATCTTAGCACAGTCAATGCTGAATTTCTATAACTGTTCTACCCTGTCTTTTGAAGGGACCACAGACCCAGCTGTGAGTACCTCTATGTTAGATTTCTATTGTCACAAAATGAATGACAGCAGTAATGTGAATAGTTGCCATACCTTTTATTTCCTTAAGGTATGTAGCGAAGGAGACCATTTTTCTCATTCAGATAAGGATGAAGCAATGGTCATCTGTAATCCCTCTATCTATATACTTGTACTATTACACAAGGTCTCTGTATCCTTATAAAGGCAAGTGGTAAGTCACTACATCTTGGCCTCAGATTTCTATGCTGATTTCACACATTTACTGTGTTTGTAACAAAACTAATATTCCAGATCAATTCAGCCCTAACTTCACTGCCTCTGCTAGGCATATCCAAATTGTTTGACTTGTAGAGCAGAGAAGTCTTTGTATTAAGTGTATGTACTATTACATTTTCTGTAGTTGCTGAAATCAGCAACATACGTAAGAAATACAGAAGAGTTACAAACAAGAATTCTGCCTTGCTTTTACATGGGCTTTGCAAGAAACTAAGGAGGAATAATCCAACTGAAGGCCAAATTCTGCCTATATATTCTCATGCAAATTTAGGATGGACAGGATATACTTGCATAAAGGAAGAATTTTGCTCTACACCATATTGCAAAATATTAGACAGAGTTTTTTGCACATTGAAGAATGAGTAAGTACAAGGAAAACTCACATTTAAAAGCTTTGCAGTTTAATGCTAAGGGGAAAAATCTTTTAGCATATAGGGAGATCATTGACTACATAATTATCACCCCATCCTACTCCTCTGCATTTAGTATCCTGGAATCTATATCTCTTCATCTCAGCAAAAAAAAAGATTTTTTAACCATTTCTTCAATAACCACAGAGGCAAAAAGCACTGAAAACAAAACACATCACTGACTTCTAGCACAGATCATGCATCAACATTTTCAGTGAAATTCTCTTTTACTACTGATAAACAAATTTAAGAGGCTTAAGTTGGGTGAATTTTAAAAATTGAAATGGTTGCTTACAGAATGCTCTGAATAGTTTTATACTTTTCGATTTATCCCATTCTCCTGCCTCTTCTCTTTTATATTAAAAATGGTAGTTTCATTATCAGGAAGAGAAATGGAGGATCATGGAGGTCATAGAATAAGACTGAGGTTGGACATCAGGAAAGACAAAGAATAAAAACTTAGCATTTTGTGAGACTGCACAGTCAGAACTTGGTCCTTGGTTTTTAGATTGCCACAGTCAGAACTGGAAGAAATTTCATGCAAGACCTTTTTGCAACATCAACATCAATTGCGAAGAAGAATAATGGTAATTTCTGTATTTCAACTTCTCAGTTATTTTTTGCAACAGAGATGTTTAAATTGGAGTAGTAAGATCCCATGAACTTGATATGAACAGAAGGGAGTGAGTAGACACACTTATGAAAGCATTTTCTCTAGACTGGTTTCCTAAAGAAATGAGGCTTATATAATCACACTGTGTATTTATCTTATGATAACAGGTCTGTCCTACTCTAATAACTTTTGAATAGGTTGTCTTACTACATCTGACAGCACTAGAGTTTTCTAAATAAATTGAATTACTCTAATTTCTTAAAAATAAGATTCATAAGAGAAAAACTTTATTAATTCTCACATTGAAGGAAAGGCTGCAATCTGAATCTATGCCTTACCAGAAACAAGAGACTTACATGTGAAAAATACCTTCAAATGCTGAAACCATCACAACATGACAACATTCCTTTCTGAGTGTCAAAATGTACCACAGGACACAAGTCTTTGGGAAACCATGTTCCAGGGCTCAAGAAACTGCCTGGTTTCCTTTTATTTCATACAATCCATCATGAGACAGCTATTAAGTAGCTGAGAAAACTTACATTCTCATATATTTTCCCTTAGTCACACAAAATCATTAGTTTACTTATGAAAACATGTTTTCTCTGATTCCCAAGTTCTGATGAAAAAAGATTTTTATGAGAAAATTCCCCTTCAAACAATACCAATTCCTGTGACAGTAGCTTCTAATTGCTGCAGACAATGTGAATATGCATTAACTTATTTCAAGTAACAGCTGGTCATGTCAATGATCAATACTATGCTAAATATCACCTCTGTTTCTTTAACTTTTTATATTTTTAAGGACTAATAAAACTCTTCTTACAACTTCATGTGTGAAAGCAGACACCAACCAGCCTTAGCAAGTGTTATTTGAAAGGCAAAGAAAGTAAATTTTTCAGACAGCTTTAGCTAAAGGCACTTCAGAGCAAAGTAGTCAATGGTCATTCAGTAAGAAGGGTAAAATGAGGGATATCCTTACTTTCACTGCAGTTTTCTTCATCACTTCCATCTTTACAGTCATTATCTCCATCACACTGGAATGCACTAGGAATGCACTGCCCATTTCTGCACTCCACCAGACCCTGACTATGACATGCTAGAGAGAAAAAAAAGACAATATTCTGATCAACTTCAGTTAATGAAGGTCTTAATTATTTTTTAACATTATATTGAAGTTATTTCAGGAGGAGCTGATGATACTGCTTAGCACTGAAGGTCACTAGACATTTTTCATTATACGTAGGCTATGTTTTCAATAGCCTACAGCTGTGCTGGTCTTTAACTACAGGGACTGAAACTATTTATGTCAGGTATTAGCAACAGGCTGATACGAAGGTCCAGCTTTTCCAAGAAAAAAAAGCAAAACAGCATTTTTACTCATATAAAAACTGTCACCTTTTCTATGCCCACTTACTTATATACCTTTATTCAGATTAGGTTCTTAGATTTCAGGAAAAATCATAGGATAGTGGTTGCAAGGTCAAGCCCTGAATGGCAGCAAAAATCAAAGCAGCATAAGCATATGTCTCACAAGAACCCTACTCACATTAAAACATGTGCTAATTCGCCAAGACTTGATTTTGCAACCTCAGCAATATTCTAGTATAGTTGTTTTGCAGATATACACCATCATCATTGGAGCAGACAGAAGTCCAAACTCTGACAAGGTGTGATAGGTCACATACAGGCACATCAGAAACCTGTCACAAACTCAGAATGCCTACAGTTTAAGAGGTTGTATACATTCATTCATTACTCTCTAATGGGACCATCACAATTAACAGAAAGCTAATTCTGTAATTAACAACAAGCTGAAACACAAGGCAATGCTGGTACTTCTGAACAGTGGCAACAAAGGTTTAATTTGCTGCAGCTGTCTCTCAGAAGGGACATTTGTCAAGTGCAAACTTCTGAAATCAAATAAGCTTATAGTTTTGCCTTACAGATAATAAGTAAGTATGCTACTTATCTTACACTTTGTTTTTTTAAAGAAAGAAAAAAATAATTTAGAGATTAAGGGAACTTACAGCAATTGATTTCATCTGATTTGTCTATACAGTCATGGTCACCATCACATACCCAATCAGCTGTTATACATCTTCCATCTCCACACTGATGATGTGTCACTGGATTACAATCTAAATAAAACCCAAATTTGAGGACAAAAGAAAGGATGATAAGTTACCATTTGTATAATTTATATTATTGATCAATTGTTCTATGCCTATAAGCTAATCATTCTTACTAATGAGCCATTTTGCATTAGTAAATTACAATAAGATATTTTCTGTACCTGCAGATTTTTTTGCAGATGGTAGTTACATATGTTCTGAATTCTATTGCCTACATAGACAGTGATGCACTCATTCCTTATCTCAGGTGCACAGTTGTTTCTATTTGCAAATAAACAAGTTTCTAAGATTTGCTAAGCAGATTAAAAGATCTTCTGGCTTCCCATCTCATGGAATTATTTTCAGTTAGACCAACATTTTCAGCTGCCATCAGAGAGAACCATTCTCTACATTTATCTTTTCACTAAAGAAGTAAAAAAGAAAAAAAAAAGTTTCTCAACTGCCATATTTGGCACTTAATCAGAAACTATGCTTTTTGCATACCCTTAGAATCTTCCATAAGAATGATCTACAAAGAAACTATTCCAATCTTCATCTTACTCTTTCTACCCAAATGCTTCCACAAATAAAGAAAAGCATTCTGTTGAGCAGGCTGACTTTACACCAAAATAAATAGGAAGCATAGACACAGTCCAATCTGACAAATGTGCTATGAAACCTATTTATAGCCTGTACAAAAAGTTAGATCTTAAATTTTATATAGAAAAGACTGTCTCAAGATAGGAATGGTAGGAGTCAGATTAATGTTTAGAAAAGTCTTTAATCAAAGACAGTTTATGAAAAAAAACCACAAAACCAAAAGTGCCAAACAGTTGTGAAAGATCTTAGAGTATGTTTAATTTGGAGAAGAAACATAAAACAAATCTCAGAAAAAATTGTGCCTTGATTTTAATTTTTGAAATTTTCTGTGCTTTTCCTTAGGAAAGCAAAAGAAAAAAAAGTGAGAAATAGTATTTTAACTTTTAAAGAATTATTTTAGAGCACTTAATTCTTCTCAGGTGTAGTACCAGGAGCAAAAGTTAGAAAAAATAAGGCTTTCAAAGTTTTCCAATATTTACATGTGAAGATTATTCTTTTTTTATGGCAAAACTTCATTTTTTTCCTAAGAAAGTTAATTGTAGGTAGAAAGACAAATACAAGGAGGCCTAACATATAACGTGGATTGAAAACAGAATTTGAAAGAAACAGAATTTGATCATCAAAACATACAAGTTCACTATGAAACTTATGTAAAAACAGTTGAGCTATAAAACAGTTGGTATCACCACTGTGTAGCCTCTTATGGTTTGCTTTAATCTCAGTTAAATTCAGCCAAGCTAGCAAGAAAGCAACCATAACATCTTGAATTAGTTTAAAACAAACTGCAAATCTTTCTTCAAAATATTTCTTCAAAATACCACTACCTTCAAAATTTGGATTAACCCAGAACTCTCCTTTAAACCTTTTCAAATTGCATGTAGAATTTGTGAGCTGTTTTTCCTTTGCCCAAAAAGAGTAACAGCAGGGTATGCTACTCTTTTAGCAATTTAAGGAAAATGATTGCTGGCTTAAGCAATACTGCTATCTTAAAGACTTGAGAAAAGCATAAAACTTTCATTTACCACAGTTCTGTTCATCGCTAAGGTCTCCACAGTCATCATATCCATCACAAACAAAGGTGTAATTTAGGCATTTTCCCGTGTTACAATGAAATAGATCACGACTGCAGTCTACAAAACAAATTTTTGCAAAATGTTAACATGACATTGGAATATTCATATAAACTATGAACACTCAACTGTATAGACTATAACAAGATTAGCTAAAGATACCCTATGATTTACAGGTCTGCGTTAATACTCAATGCGTACCAGTTTATTAGAATCTAATATGGAAGAACAAGAAAAATCAAAAGCAATTTTTATTCTGTTCCTACCAATTGCTTTTTTGATCAATACCATGAGGAGAAAGTGCTCTGGTTACACATATGGACCAAAATGTTTAATTAATTTATACACATAACTTTCTCGAGAAAAGTTGTGGGTTTCATCGGCTAGATTACTAGAACAGTCTGGAGCACCTCATGTGACTATTAGGTGGAGCTGAAGCTTCTAACAGCAAAATCAAGATCCCTAGACTGTGCTTTTGAGTCTGCCTTTGATCTTACAATGGTTTCAAATGAGCTTTATGCTTTATGCAGTTTTTAGCTCAGAATTTGGCCTGATGCTGTCTCATCAAGGAATTCTTAGCACTGTCAGCCCTAAGTGGGTTTAACCTTTCTTTCCATGGCTGAGGTCTTCAGTAAAGCCCTGACAAATATTCTCTGAGAATATCCAAAATGCTTGAATAATATCAGGTGTGATAAAAACATGGAATCTATGTTGTAGTTAGGAAAGGGGGGAGAAGAGAAAATAGGGCTGGTGGTGTCTGGTCCCACTAGTAAGTAATAACTTTTGATCACAAACACACAGTTGGTAACTGGGTGACCTAGCTTCACTGCCTTCCTCTAGGCTTTTCCTTCACATCTGGCTTTTCCAGGGAGAATGCCAGGATATAGAACAGCTGGGTGGACAATCCCTCCTTCCTGTTGAAGCTATGCCACTGGAACCAAGGAAGTTCTTTGTGCCCTTTCTTACTGCGATATGTGGGCATTTTAAATGAGCTCCTCCTTGGACAACATACAGAAAGAGCTCCAAGAGCAGGGACTGGAACACAAGTCTCTCCCCTCAGCTGAGATGCTCAACCACTAAACAACAGAATCATGCTACCCCTTGCTTCTCTCCTCTTGGCATGTGACTCCTGTGTTCATGATTGCATAGTGGTCCCACTATGAAAGAAGGATGTCCAAGTACACTACACACTGAAAGGTGCAGCACTCTCCCAGAAGGTGCAGTGGGGTTTTTTATCCCTCCAGATCAATGGCAGCCAAATGTTCCACCTCCTAGGTGAGTGCACCAACTTTAAGTTTCTCAAGGCTTTACCAACCTCAGCTCTAGAACTTGAATAACTTCTTCCCCTTCCCCCACAGAAGTACTCATGCTTTCTACAAGTTTCACATCATCTTAGAAAGCCCAAACAGAATTTATAGCATAATGTGAAGGACAATGCTTCAGGACATAAAGTAAAATAATATGGCTGAGCCATGAGCTTTGTAGTCAATAGTTAATTTAGCTTTAAAAGAACAAGAGGCATGACACAGTAAATACCAAAACCCACAAACTAATAAAAATATTTAAGTTCTAGTTTCATGTAAGCAGAACAATAGCTGAGAGTAAAATTCTAAACTTTACTTGTTTTGAGTATGCAACAGGGTGAAGTACTCTGGCAACTTTTATCCTTATTGATCAGTTTATAACTCTTGACAGTGTCTGTGCTTCCATTGCTCCTCAGGCAAATGAAACAAAGCTGTCTTTTCTATGTTGTTTCCTCTGGGTAAGTTTACTGTTTAATTTCCATGCAAACCCCCATTCCTGTTTACATTCATAACTCTCTAGCTGCAGCAGTGTCTTTTAGGATATGACAGCTCTCAGGCCCACACAGATAGAGTAAACAAAAAGAATACAAACTTCCTTGCAAGGAAATAAAGAGTCACTAGATGAAAATCTAACAGTCTTAACCTACATTTTCTTCAAGATATTGGCAATAATATAAAGCATAGGGTAGCTAATTATTTCTGTCAGAGTAAGATGGGCATTTGGCAGCTGCCATTTGTAAAAGGCTCGACTTAGATTTGTTAATGATGGGACAAGCCCTGTTTTCATAAAATTAAATACAAATTCCTATTCTATACTCCACTAAACACAAATAAAGCCTGGTCAATCATTTGCATTCAGCAATCCTTTGATCTCTGTTCATGCATACCCTGTTTTCACCACTTCACTGTTGCATCATGTTTCCTGACCATGAATCACCTCAGCCCAACACTGAGATGATTTTAGGAGTCCTACATTTTAAAGATGTACATTTAAAGATATATGTGCAGACTCAATGTACAAATTCTTCCACTTTTAGAAGTAAATAAGACCTCAATTCAACAAGATGCTCTATCCTGGAGTGTGGCATGCAGTGGCACATATATGTAAACATTTTTTTAAATTTTGTTTTATTACTAACATGATCTTCATCTTGTTCACTCTTTGTGAAAGAGAAGTATGAATGAGAAAGGCATATGAGGAGGAAGAGGAAGTGAGTATATGTATTAGGGAAGTGTGTAAGCACAGCCAGAGAGATGTAAGAGAGCCTGTTGCATTTGGTACATTACATGTAAAACTTGCTCATCAGGACCCTTCTGACAGTTCCAAGTTTTGGCACTGATAATTTATGCATTTGTAGATCAGCTTTACAGCTTCTTTCCTGTTCATATTCCTATGTGATAGCTGGCTGAGCTGAATTCTGATTCCTCAGCTGGTACCTTCCATTGCACAAAGTCACAGAGTAAATGGTATAAGCAACATGATGAAATCCTAAGTATCAGTTTTCAGCTCCAGCTGTGTAAAAAAGCGACACTGCTAAGTAAATTAAACTATACTTTCAAAAAGAGGGATGGATTCTGCTAAAGCCTAACTATTGCCTGCATACCTATTATGGCCCATCAAAGGGAAGAAGAGAAAAATGCATGTCAAGAGCCAGGAATAGAAAAGTGATTGCATCATGTGATCAATTTCTTGATGCAGAATCCTGAAAGGAGATTCTAGGAAGAACTATTAATATGGAAAAGATTAAAACCAGAGACTTCTGCATTTCATAATGTATATCATTTTCAACATTAAAACTAAGGAGGCACAGCTGTAAGATTCACTCATGTAACTTTAGACATCTACGATCTACATCATTTAGTTTCTAAAGCACATATCCCATCTAAATTATCTGCTTAAAATCAGACAAATCATGCATCAGCAGTGTCTGTTTCTCTCAGTTGAGTATCCATACAGCCAGTTTAGACATTTAGCTCAGATAGTCACCAGCACAGGGACAGACCACTCCCTCCCTAATGTATGTAACTTCATAACTAAAAACCAGAGACATCTCTGCAAGCTGGTAGCATCTAAAACAAATATAAGAAGTCCTGTATTTTGGGATTGGATGGGGGAAGCTTCTATGGGAACTTGGACATCCCAGGAGAATGCCTCTGTATACATTTACTTTTTTTTACCTGGAATTATGAACCAAACCCAACTGAGCAGTACCTTTAAGACCAAAGGTACTGAGGTGAATGGGCTTCCTCTCATCACCTCAACCTGCCATCAAAGGAGTTGACCACAACATTACAAGCACAAACCAATGCACCCACCATGTTACTGGAATTGGCACTAAAGCAGCAGACAAGCAAGCTGCTCTGCTATTACTGCAGCTGTCTTGTGTTTAACAAAAATAGAGGAGGAAATGTAGAGATGGATAAAAGAAATACTGAGATTAGTATGAATTAAATATGAAAGGAAAAATGTATGTGCATGAAGGCATCAGAAGCAAGAGCAGAACAAGATCTAAAGGAATGCTATATGTTAATTGCTACAGAGCACTGTAAGCATGACTTTATTTAAATGATCAGGCAGCAAGAAGATGAATAACAACCTGACCTAAGGATAAGGAAAGAATCATAGAATCATTTAGGTTGGAAAAGATCCTTAAGATCATCCGCTCCAACTGTTAACCTAACACTGCCAAGTCCACCACTAAACCATGTCCCTAGGTACCACATCTACACATCTTTTAAATACCTCCAGGGATGGTGACTCAACCACTTCCCTGGGCAGCCTGTTCCAATGCTTGACAACCCTTTCAGTGAAGAAATTTTTCCTAATATCCAATCTAAACCTCACCTGGCGCAACTTGAGGCTGTTTCCTCTTGTCCTGTCACTTGTTAATTGGGAGAAGAGACTGACCCCCACCTCGCTACAACCTCCTTTCAGGTAGTTGTAGAGAGCGATAAGGTCTCCCCTCAGCCTCCTTTCCTCCAGACTAAACAGCCCCAGTTCCCTCCTAAGACTTGTGGTCCAGGCCCCTCACCAGCTTCATTGCCCTTCTCTGGACACGCTCTAGCACCTCAGTGTCTTTCCTGTAGCGAGGGGCCCAAAACTGAACAGAGTATTGGAGGTGCGGCTTCACCAGTGCCCAGTACAGGGGGACGATCACCTCCCTGCTCCTGCTGGCCACGCTATTTCTGACACAAGCCAGGATGCCGATGGCTGCCTTGGCCACCTGGGCACACTGCCGGCTCATATTCAGCCAGCTGCTGACCAACACCCCCAGGTCCTTTTCCACCAGGCAGCTTTCCAGCCACTCTTCCCCAAGCCTGTAGTGCTGCATGGGGTTGTTGTGACCCAAGTGCAGGACCTGGCACTCAGCCATGTTGAACCTCCTACGATTGGCCTCAGCCCATTGATCCAGCCTGTCCAGATCCCTCTGCAGAGCCTTCCTTCCCTCAAGCAGATCAACACTCCCGCCCTGCTTGGTGTCATGTGCAAACTTACTGAGGGTGCACTTGATCCTGAAGATCAAGAACAACCCTGGAGATACAAGGAAAGCAAAAAACCGTAAGTCTCAGGAATATTTTCCAAAAAATATTCAATCTCTAAGAATGTAAAATGCTTGCCAGAAGAGTAAATCATCACTGCCAACCAAAAAGAAGCCAAGACATTTTGAGGACACAAAAGCCAGTGTTTTTCACTGTGAAAAATAGGTGATTCTGGCCAGACCACTTGTGTACACACTAGGGGTGAGACAATTAAAT